TTTCTTATGTTCTTAACATTATGTGCCCTGTGGAGAGAGAGCGAACCCCCCCCCCCCGGCCCTCTTGCTAGAACGTATGGGAGCCCGATGGCATTGTCCAGGCGGACAAGAAGACCAGACTCCCCGACCCAGCAGGGGAGGGGTGGAATTTGTGGGTCCAGGATGTGTGGGTGGCCACGGGCGGTCCAGGGCGGTCCACTGATGGCATCACCCAAGCCAGGTGGCGCCTCCACAGCGAAAGGCCGTGTTTCTCTGGATGTTAGCCATGAGGGAGTCCCGGGGGGCCAGGCTGCTGCCTCCAGGCCCTCTCCTTTGTGGGCTTCCACGTAGCCCCCCCCCCTCCTCTGTGGGGGCTCTGGAGGCAGCCGGACCTTGTCTTCCTGTCACTGAGGCCGGTCACACTCAAGCGTGGCTGAAAGAGGGACCAGCTCTGCAAAGGCTGCTGTGTTCGGGGCTACTAGGAGGAGGAGGAGGAGGAGGAGGAGAGGAGGAGTAGTAGTTCAGATTTATGCCCCCCCCCCGCCCCTTCACTCGGAGTCTCAAGAGCGGCTTACAAAGGCCTCCCCCTCCCCACAACAGACACCTGGTGAGGCGGGTGGGGCTGAGAGAGCTCTTTCCAGAGCAGTCCTTGAGAGAGAGAGCTCCTCCTCAAAACAAATGAAACACGCACAGGGAAAACTGAAAGACTTCTGCATGCAACATTTGTTTCCGTGGCACATACCATTTGTCTCTCTGGCCATTCGTCCATTTTCATCCCTCCTTTCAAGCTGCTGGGGGGGCGGTGGTGGTGGGGGCTCCATGGCTTTTCCCTCCCCCCCCTTCCATCCTCGCCACAGGCTTGTGGGACAGGCTAGGCTGAGGGGGAGGAAGAGGGCGGGAGCCAGGCCCTGCACAGCTCCTCTCCTTGCCCACAGGATGAAGCTGGCTCTGCACAAGATGGGGGAAGTGAGCGAGAAGCAGCAGGCCCACTCCCGGGACGTGCACGCCCTCCAGGAGAAGCTGGACAAGATCAAGCAGGTGAGGCCTGCCAGCCCGCCCCCGCCCCCGTCTCTTCTCCGCCA